CAATAGTTAATAAAGAAGATAACTTGTAAAAAAATCAAGCTAAATAGCTCATGTTTCTATCTTATATTAGGAATCAAGTGTAGCACTATCACAAGAGCAGAGCAGCACAGAGAAAACAGCTAATGAAGTGTTTGACGAGCAGATTCCAAGAGAAGTAGATATAGCTGAGAGCAGTAGAAAACCAGCTTCAACTGGCACTTAAATTGCTCTGCTAGAGAAGCTGGATAGAGTGGCAGAAACCTTTACGAAAGGTGAAGTAAGAGATCCGGAACCTGGAAATGCCAAAGAGACCACTAATGCTGGCACAAGGTTGTAGCTAATCAACTGATAATAGAGAAATATAAATATAAATATACCGTACAGAAGGTTCTATAAACATATAAATAACATTGCTGAACTTTTCATTGCATTTTGCAAACAAGAAACAACTTCCACTAATGCTGGCACAAGGTTGTAGCTAATCAACTGCCAAAAAGAATCTTATAAAATGGCCCCCTCTCTCAAATACTGGGTGTATATTAACACAATTAGCCTTTCAAATCTATTGCCCCCAATTCCAACCCAAACTTTTAGCTTATATTTTATATCAAAATAAAGATTGTGATAATCCCAACCGGAAGCAGACACTAAGTTATAGGAAATTCCATGGCCAAGTGCAACCTAAGTAGATATATGCTTTCCAATTAATTCCATTGCAAAATCACATATTCACTGTTTGATCGTATCTACAACTACATTTCATGTTTAAAACACCCACCCCTCCACCAACCTGAATACAGGATAATAGTAAACGAAGCTCATTCCACTTAAACCTATCAATATGCAAGCCAATCTAGCAATGTTATTTTATAGCTAATCAACTGTATGGTAACTCCAATCCAGAAAAAAAAAAAACCAGAACTGATAATAGAGAAATATAATTTATATGTTTATAGAACCTACAACGTGATTAATAAATTGAAAGCTTCAACATACCATGTATTTGCTGCAACCTTGTGCTGAGTCCAGACAACAAAACCAGAAAATATGCAGAACCCTCATTCCTCCACCAATTCTAATGCAAACATCAATCCCTCAATTCCCACCCCTAACCAGGATCCCGCAATTCAGCATCAACCCCGACGCCCTCGCGGATTTGCTGCCACCGCCACTGCTACAACGGTAGAGGCCTCACCTAATGCACCTGCCTCCGCCAAAGGGAAAAGAGAGAGGGAGAAGGAGAAGGAAAGGACGAAGCTCAGAGAGCGACACCGCCGTGCCATCACTAGACGTATGCTGGCCGGTCTCAGACAATATGGTAATTTCCCTCTCCCTGCGAGTGCAGACATGAACGATGTGCTCTCTGCCTTGGCTCGCGAGGCTGGATGGACAGTCGAGCCTGATGGCACCACCTATAGGCACTCTCCTCCTCCCCAACAGATGGTTTGTTTCCTCAGTTCTCTTTTCTTTGATTACTTCATTGTCGGTGAGAAGAGAGTGCAAACCAAATTCAATTCAAAATTGAAATTCGAGGGTTTTAGGGTGAGATTGAAATGTAGGGTATTTACTCTTGAAAATTACTCTGTTAAAATACATGTATTTCATTCAAATTCAATTACATTTTATTTAGGTAAAAACAAACAATAAAATTAAATTTGAGTACTTAAAACTCAAATACACATTGCCAAATTCAAGTTGCCAAACAGAGCATTAGTGTTTTTGGCGAAGTAGAAGGATGACAAGGAACAAATCCTTAGCAAAGGGACGGACATGAATAAAAATTAAAAGTAGAGGGACAATGGTTGGCTTTAACCCGGATGGAGGCTGATGCGTCTTGTTATGCCACGTCTCACAGTAAAGAACATAGAGAATCACACAGTTCAAATACAATGGTAATTTTCTTAGTATTTTATTAGAAATTAAAAAATTAAAATATTTTATTTTTCACTTTTCATATCTTATTATTATTTTATAAAAACTATATTATAATTTAATAATTTGTTTTAAAACATTATAATTAATATAATTATTAAATTAGCACTAGGCCTAGAGGCCCAATGGCACTTGTCATTGCAAAGTGCATTTCC